CGATTACTTACTAACGTTGAAATTTCCATGTTCACTTTTCACTATTCTCTGACAAACTAATAACTAGTAACTAAGTAAATTTCAATGACCATCATTAAACCCTAATTATATCTAATATCTGGTACCTGCGATAATCCTTCCGGCAGCGTCCAAAACAAGGGTACTTTTAAGACCCTCAGATACTTCAGCTTCGAAAAACATGCCCGCTCGGTAAAATACAGGACCATATGGCAGTAATGCCAATAGATCATTATCCTTTTGTTGTGATATAGGTATTGGACTTTGTGATACCAGTTGCAAACCTTTTGGCAATGTAAGGTGTCGCTTTCGAAACCTAACAAGAACAAGGTCATTCTCCTGGTTTTCATAATGAAAATTACTTTTCAAAAACAAAGTTACCATACAGTTTTGTTTTACTTGCAGTTGAACACTTGTTATTCAAAGACCTTGTTGTTTGTTGATCTCTCTTTTTCTGTTAATCAAGGCGGATTTTGCGATGTTTTAACATCGTAAAAAGACCTAAATTTTTTAAAATCTTTTAGTTCCATATTATGTACGGTATATTTCATTGAAGTTTGATTAACACCTGACAGTCTCAGAGCGTTAAATAGACATGTTGTTAGTTTTTTTTTCTCTTTGGCTGTATTGGCGCATGGTTAGTGTCCTTCTCCATGTGGGTGTGACACTTTAGTAGAAACGCCAGACTCGAAGTAAAGCCTCTTTTTATAGCTCTGTATAGCTTGACTTTCTTTTAAAAATGAATTTTTCTGTAGAAGAATTAATAGATATTGAGGGAGCCTTGTACTGGCTACCTACATCATGAGAGTTAGAAATCTTTTGATTCCAAGCCTTACTTCAAAGGACTTGTGAATGGATGCATCTCCATAGGTTTGGTTCTTCAGTGACCGTTGAAGGATAAGGATTCTTAATGTGAGCAAATATAGCTCCAGAGAAATAAAATCACTTTTGAGTTTATCGATTTATAATTAAATCTTTTAAGAGTAGAGAGGCCCAACACGGCCGTAACTTAGTATACAATATCAAATGTACTCTTTCTTTATAACACGTAAAAGAAAAACCGTTATGAGAAATTGCCCGATTTCGTCAGATATAATCAATAATACCTCGTTCGGCGCGAAGGGAGACCAGAAGAGATCTTAGCAAGAAAGTAAAGGGGTGACAATCTGTAATACTATAATTTACTCGGTTAGTATATAGAATTTTGTTACCTTTCGCGTATTTAGGCTCTAGCTAATGATACGCCCTTCAGTTCCTCCGGAAATCGGATTTCTTTCAGTACCCGACACTTATACGGAACTATATCCCGTCGAAATATAATAATCGCGCGTAATCCGCACCTGGTGTCGCCTCTTGCCTTGACAGCCCCGCCCGAAGATACTGACGGACTGACGCTACCGCCTCCGACCCAGAGCCGGCAATCACTGCCTGAGCGGGTAGTCACGGTGCCCAGCTATTACTGACTGACTGACGCTACCGCCTCCGACCCGGAGCCGGCAATCACTGCCTGAGCGGGCACGGTGCCCAGCTATTACTGACTCCTCTGGCCCCTTCGTTCTTTGTTTTTATTGAGTTCGTATTCTCAAATGCCGATTATAGTACCAAGGTCGAGTTTTTACTGAGTCCTCGTGATTTAAACCAGGTCGGCGCTGGTGATATTTTTCAGCGTAGGTCTATGTTTATTAAAACGTGACTATTTTCTTTTTTTTTGAACAATTGTTGCAACTGATACTGGCTCGTGTCAAATCGTGTCAAATTGTTTTTCTTTGTATAGATTAACATGTATACGTTACTGTATCGAATTTATTCTTTATTTAATTTGGAATATATAATAATTATTTTGAATAATTATTATCTCCTCTATGCTACTTAGCCCTTTTTTTTCTTCTATTTTTTCTATTCTTTATTGTCTTGCTATGTTTACATTACACTATGTTTGGTCCGCACTTTTGTATAGTGCAGAAGTATGGACGCTAAAAGTATCGATCATGAACAAAATTGAAGAATTGTAAATGTGGATTTATAGACGAATGCTGAAGATACCGGCAAGGAAAAGTACTAAGGAGCGTCAACAAAGATAGAGAACTGCTAAAGACTGTTAAACATCGAAAAATGTCTTATCTGCTACATATAGTAAGGGAAGTGGATATAAAATATTAAAACTGATCCTTAAAGGCAAAATAGAGGGCCGTAGAGGTGTAGGAAGGAAACGGGTTTCTTGGTTGAGGAACATTCGTAAATTTACTCGGATATCAAATGCGGGACAATTATTCCGTATTGCAGAAGATCGAGAAGCATTCGCAATGGTGATCGCCAACGTCGGATAATTCTGATATGGCACGTGAAGAATAAGAAGAATTAAAGAGTATCAAAAATGCAATCTTTTGAAAAAATAACATGGGTTATACATTTAAAAATTTGGGAAAATCGTAAATTTCTTTTTGTATTTCACCCTATATATCCTTATCCGTCTATGATTTTTGTTCAACTTAATTTGAAATTTAGAACATATTGTTTACTTTATTATATAAAATGAATAATTATTTATGTATTCCTCCTTTATATAGAGGGTCTATATTTCTTAATAAAGTGGCATAAAGAGACGTTATAAATTTTTATTTTCGGTCTTGCCAAGTGTGCAAACTCGTTCACTATCATGCAGCTTACTTAATCATTCATTACAGTCCCCGCAAATAGAATCTGAACTCTTATCTGTTTATTATTTACTTAATCCAAAGTGGGTTATATTATTTTGTAGCGAATAGGTACCACGATGTGTCACAAATATACGATAATAGCGCATCGTTCGTAGACAATAATAGTTAATAAAGTAAATTGACGATGGCGGCGGCTAAAACGAAGGTCAATACTAATCATAACAAAGTTGTAACAGGAATTACTACTACAACTACAGTAACTGGTAAGGACGAATATTATTTGCATTTTTTTTAGTGATAATTTATACCTAAGCGTGCAAGTACAAGTGCGTGAGTCATTTATAAATATATCTCTTGTGATAAGGCTGGATGAATTTGTATACGAAAGGTAAAATAATAAAAGTCCGTATGTGATATGCAGAAATATTTACGTTTGTGATATAGATACAGATTTACGCTATTATCGTAGTTAGCTTGGAATAAAACAGTCTTATCTGTTGCTCTTTTTCGAATAATGTCTAGCGTCATCAAAAATTTCATCTTATCTATTGCTATTCCTAAACAACTGTTGTAAATGTAAATAGCTAACTGAAAACTAAATGTAAAGGATCTTATATTACCCTATGAATAGAATGTATCATAAATTGTAAACCATAAAATGATCAAAAATTTATCAAAAACATGGAACAAGTAGTTCACAGAACGATAATCGGCAGTTTGTCAGATACATTTTCGTTTTCTCCAATATTTGCTCAGCTTTTTATATTGTGCGGCCTTTTGCTGCACATCTCATTACTGATCGCTTTTTTATAAATCATATTGCATTTTATTTTGGTATATTATACAATTGAAACGTGTAATAGGTACTAGTATATTTTTGTTAATTTAAAATATGTGGTGTATGGATATTGTAGTTTTATAAATAAATCATTACATTTATTTCCAGATAAATGTAGCCTATGGTTAGTGATATTCACCATCATAACTATTCTCATTGTGGTGATTACCGGAATATGCGTTAAACTCTTGATGGAAAGCTACACAGCCAGCATAATTTTGGTATCTTTAATATGCTTCGAAATAGTTATTGGCTTTTCAGTGCTAGCTATATTAGCTTGGAGAAGAAACAAATTGGCTATGAGTCACACAGTGCTACGAAGAAATGGAGTAATAAAGTATCATCCTGTTCAACCGACGGCACCGCAAGATGAAGGATCCTGGGAATATTCAAATAGAACCACATTACCAGCGTAATTTTAGATTTTATGAATGTTGTGTTATACAGAGTACAACTTTATACGCTTTATAAATGTAAATAGGTAGCTAGTAATGTTCAACAAGGCTGTTTATTAAAAGTTATGAATTTTTTTTTATTTTGAATATTTTTAGAAATTTATTATTACCTTTATGCAACCAGTCGTACACTAAATGTTATTGAACGAGTAATTATCAAAACAGATGTTTACTAAACTATGGACAATATTCACACAATTAAATTTATACTATTTTATATTCAGTAAACATACAAATAATATCTGAGTTACAATTTTTGATTTTTTATATTAAATAAATTCTGATTGAACGCGTTTTAGTTATGCAACCAGTTATGTACTACATGTTTTAAATTATCAAAATTAAGTGTAGACTCGAATAATAAATAAAGTAGTTATTAAAATATTTGTAGTTATATATATTTAAACTCTAACAATTAGATCGAACTTAGTATCTTTAATAAATATTTATTTAAAAAGTTGATAATTATTGTTATAAATCAATGACGTATAATATATAGACTACGCAGTCCCCTATTCTCGCTATAGAATCAAGTGTCCGAAAGATCTCGGCTCAAGGTTGAAGGTATGTTTATCACAACAGCGGCGTGCTCATTTATATGTTAATGACAATAATTATTTTTTTAATTAAAATTAAATATTTATGATTTCTTTTTGTTCCCGTCTATAAGAGAAATAATTATTTTGATAAAATAGTATGACATTTTACTAAAATAGTAAGTAAATAACTCTCAAGAATTTAAAATAAAATTTGCTTGTCACACAAAATGGAGAAAATGTTTTTATACGTCCATGATGTTTTCAAACACAAGATCAACTTCGTGATGCTTCGTAAGAAATCATGAACTTCGTGCATCTTCGTATCAAAACAATAAACAATAACAAAGGTATTCATGTTTTGGACACTTTTTAAAGCGTTCACCGAGTCTAATATATTATACGTCATTGGTTATAATTTATTATTGCGACCACATTGCGACTTGTGTGTGACATTTTATTGACATAAATGGATTTTTTGACATGAACCACAGACCACTAATAACAGGAGGTAGGTGATCTGTGACATGAACGAAAATAGCGATTCTGAATTTAAAACGGTATCATATAAACGAAAACGACGTAGTCCTAATAAGAAGGATATTCTTAAACTTAACAATTCCTCTACGGAATCAGATATTGATTTAGAACAAACTGTTAGGTAAGTTAAGTTGTATAAGTTGACACATATATAAATATAACCCTACTTTTAGACGGATTTCCATAGCTAAAGCTGAAATTATCACCACAGATTTGTATGCTTCTGTAAAAGCATCGCTCAAAGAAGGATTGGAAAGTTTAGGCAATCCCCGAATATCTGAAATAATTTGTTTAGGATTGGGCCGAATTGGTGAGTGTTTGATAGCAAGATTCCAATTGGCAGTGCTCTTAAATTTGAGTGATCAATTTGGCTCAAAAATTTCGGTATATGATCCTATTTTTAGTGGAACAGACAAAGAGATATTGCGTTCATTTGAAATTGAGATTTTAAATGAAAACTTAGAAGGAAAATACTCAATAAATAACAATAAAACAGTTTTGTTTTATATGCCTCACTGTTCTAAACAATTAACCAATAACCTAATTTGGGCTAACTGGGGTCTTAACCTAGGTCATTGTGTTATTGTGGCTAACAGTTTTAACAAGATTATAGAATCAAGTTCTACTAGACATGTGGCAGAGTGTGCAAATTATATAACAAAAATTTTACCTTACGTTTTTGAAGTTGCCATCATAAATACATTTAAGTATTATGAGGTATTCAGTGACATTGCTGTGCATGTTTTTCCTAAAATGAATTTAGTTTGTCCAGATGTATGGAAGGATAATCAAGAACCTGGTTATAAACAGAATGATATAGAATTTATTATAAATGCTGTGAATAGTTTGTAATTTTAAGACTTAGATGTAGATATTTAAGACTTTTTAAATAAATATGATTTAATGAACTAATGCTTGGTTATTTCTTCAGAGTGTTGAAAACATGGCGTCAAAAATCTGCACAATAAGGCAAATCATTAGTGAACTAAGATATGTCTTGCCTGAAGGTAACTTAAAGAATAACCTGATGCTGCAATATGTGATAAGTCAGTTCAGAAAATACAAAACTACAGATGAGCAACTGTGTAAAGCTAGACAAGAAATGGAGTTCATGGCAAAGACTTATTTGTGCTACTTGAAGAGCACTAGATTGAGTGATGAGATTCAACAAGAATATCATGGAAAGGGTGAGAGAACAGTGTCAGATACTGCTAAAATGGTTGGATTTAAGTTGCCTCATGATCCTAAATAGTTGTAAGAATGTGTAATATAAACGTATAAGTTGTATAAACATGTAGATATGCAAGATTGTTAACTAGTGTTATCAATATTAGAAAATTATCATTTAATGATGTAAAAAATATAAACAAAATCATATTTGTTGTTTCAATTTATTTCCCAGTTTGATAGTATAAACTATTCCATGTAACATCACACATATATTTGATTATCATGTTAGCTGATTCTACTAAGCTATTTAAGATGTCAACTTTCCTGCACATTTAGCTAAAATGGGAATGCATATTAATTCTCTTTGTTCATGTGATAACAACTCTATGACAGCTTAAAGCATATATTTAATTATGAACTTAGTGAATATCCTACAAAAGTACTAATTGTCCAACTTCAAGAGCAGAATGTAAGTTTACCGTTAAATACTTCACACATACTAAGCTTCCACACAACATCTATTAAAGATTTTATCATACAGTTTCTTAAAAACTAAAATATTTAATTATGACATCCTTAACTTTTTAACATTTGTGACAAAAAGGTTACCCAATGCCATCCCCTCTTTATGAACACACACACACATAGTATAAACTATAAAGAATAGAATAGAAGTATGCTTTATTGTGTGTCTGGAACACACACAACTCTAAATTTTGTATTTCCAATGGTTGGCCACATAGATGGCCCTGTCATTCCCTAAAAATAGATCTTCATTGCAGGTCTCTCTCATCTCTGTGCATGATAGTAGATGAACTATTGAACCGCACCACAGTCACAGGTATCATTGTCCTGGTAGCCCATTTCTTCAGGTTACTAGCACAACTTGAAATGCCAGTTCTTAGTCTGTTTAGCGCTTTCGATATGGGATACGACAATTGTGTCCAGCAGCCATTTCCTCTGAGAGAGCAAAATGTGTTGTAGCTGACACAGGTGTATTCGCCCCGTCTTTGGTTCTTCGGAAAGGGGATCATGATTTTTTTAGAAAGCTTTTCCGAGATCCTAATCTACTTGGCTGAACTTGGTGTTCATACAAGGTATATCTTCGATCCGTCTCCTGCTTCTTTTGTTCTATCTCTGAACCTGTGAAGGTGTAGGTTTCAGACAACCAGATATATGAACCAACATTAACTCAACAGACGTTTTTAGCGTAAGCAGAGTTTTCCCATACTGGTGCTCCAAACTCGGCAGCAAAAAAACATAATGCTACGCCAGAAGTACAGAGAGTGTGTGGTTGTGCTCCCCATTTTGTGTTTGTTAGTTTGCGGATGATATTATTTCTAGCGCTTACTTTTTTCTTGATATCCTGACAGTGATATCGATAAGACAGAGTTCTATCCAGGTACTCCGAGGTATTTTGGCGTCTCATTGTGTTCCAGCATCTGACCACGCCATTCCACCTGCCATGTGCTTCGGGCATACTTGTTTCTAAGGTGGAAAGCACACACCTGGGTTTTTGTAGGATTGGGCTTCAGATGGTTTTCATCATAGTATAGTGCTAAAGGTCGATTCAGACACATCAGTCCCGTCATAGTCTCGGCGCCGAACCAGTCCTGTTTGGTCACAGAACTATCAAACTATCTGACAACTGAATATTTTGTATGACGTCTCGTCACAGTGATTGCGCCTAACCGAACAATCCGTCATACAAAATATTCTTTAATACAAATATGTTGCCGGCATTCACACTCATCAGTTGACAAACAGTTTCCCAGCTGTCAGATAGTTGATAGTTCTGTGACCAAACAGGAGCGGTTCGACGCCGAGACTATGACGGGACTGATGTGTCTGAATCGACCTTAAGTCTTCTAGGGCATCTGTTAGTATTACTTCGACTTCATTGAGGGTAATTCCCTGAGCTGTCTCAGCTGTATCATCCGCGTAAATAAACTGTCTTGTTTGTTGGTTTTTGGGTTGGTCGTTGGTGTAAATGTTGTATAACAATGGCGCGAGGACACTTCCCTGTGGGAGTCCATTTTTTGATCCCTCCACCGACTGATCTTGGACTGAAGCGTTACGTATAAGCGTCTATTCTGGAGAAGACATTTCATTAACCTTGTTAGTCCGAAATCCTTTGTAATTTCGTAGAGTTTTACCAGGAACCATTGATGGTTGACTCTCATAGGCGGCAGGCTATAAACGCTACTCCTGTTATTTCTTTCTGTTCAAACCAATCTTCAATATATTGGGTGAGATTAAGAATTTGACTACAGCAGCATTTTCCGGGTCTAAACCCTGCTTGATCAGGAATAATTTTAGTGTTTACAGATTCAGCGATCCGGTTCAGTATCATCCTTTCGAACGCCTTGAAAAGGTGATACAAAAGAGAGACAGGTCTAAAACTCTTTGTATCTGCCGGATGCTTTCCTGGGTTTAAGACGGTCAGCCTTCCTCCAGATTTTGAGGATTTGGAATGTGCGGAAGCAACAGTTAATCATTTTTACGAGCCACTCTAGTGTTTTTGATCCAAAGTGCTTTATTTGTTCTGTTCGTATATCGTCTAGACCAGCCGCTTTATTATCTTTCATTTGGTGGATCGCACCTCTCATCTCCTGCAGACAAAATGAGATACCTTATGAAGTGTCAAGAAAATGAAATAAAACAATGGTTTGTCTATCCAACAATTTTTTCAACGAGATGTACAAAAATTGTTTCAATCAGGAAGATTGGATTCGGTGCTGCAAATGTGGTGGTTGGGCACATGAAGCTTATTCAAGCTGTGAAGAAGATGATGATACTTTTATATAGTTTGAATTTTATTTTTTAATACTGTTCATACTGAACCTACTGTATAATAGTGTGCACTACTTCATTACATGTTTAATTAAAAAATAACCTAATATTTCCATGTACCCCATTTTACCCAGTCTTTCTTGAAAAACGAGGTATTTCCACATTTTTAAAAATGCCTATTTCTGTCCTTACGTAATTTTTGTTAAATACTCAATATCTGTTTTCTGGTACCTGAAGACATACTTTAACTACATAATTGTGTAAAATATTTTATTTATTACAAATTTTCATTTGATGTCACAAAATGTGATGGGGTCCCCATTTTGGGCAACTCCCCGGCCCCTACTCTAAAATTGAAGACTGTCGCCATATATACACAGAAAAAATGGGAAATTGACAAATAAACACTTTTAGAACAATCATTTATTGACAAATACTTATATAATTATAAAAATATATTAAATATATACAAAGAGAATTCATTTAACGAATTACAATAGACGATTATATTAAACTTATAAAAAAATTAAATATACTGAAAATACCGCATGAACGATGAATTTGATATTTACAGAAGTTTCTTATGAAATGCTTGCTTTATTATTTTGGCACATGTCTCCATATAAAGGATATGTTTAAAAATATCTTAATGGAGTTTTTTCGTGCGAAAATTTTTAATATATTATGTAATTATTTATATTATTAAAATAATTCAATTAAATACCAGCGCCATCTATCAACAGATCTAAAAAGTTTCGCCGGAATTCTATTAACTAACACCATTGTTGCCAAGCAAACGATTTTTTCCTATTGATAGCCCGTTTGTGATATAGTTCTTCTATTTAAGGAGTTTGAGATATTTTTGAAAGTGTGATTGTTTTGTTAATACCATGCTAATACTTTATAAAATATCTAAAATGCATTGGTAGTACGATTGGGTTAACAATATGGGTTTTGGACGCATTTTTGCCATATTCCGAGATTTGTTTGTGTTTATTTTTAATATTTAGTATGTTTATAGACATGCGTCGCTTTAACAAGCTTATATGGCCATTCTAAAGTGATTTCATAAGAAGGCCAATCATTTTAAATTTAGTTTTGTAAAAATGTTGCACGCTAGTTGAAAAGTGAAATGATCAGTTCAGTATCATCGAATTTATTGCTTGAATTCCTTCTCGATTAATTTAGCGATGGTGCTCAGTTGCATATTGGCAGTACCTTCGTAAATGCTGCCGATTTTGACGTCCCTGTAGTATTTCTCTTGAATAAAGTCCTTGGTGAAGCCAACTCCTCCCATCCAGTCTATGCATTTGACGGTAACGTTCTGGGCAATGTCTGCAGCGTAGTATTTAGCCATGGCGGCTTCTTTCACGAATGGTACTTTAGCTTCCACCATACGGGCCGCGTTGTAGGTGAGAAGACGAGCAGCTTCGATTTGGGTGGCTACTTCGGCTATCTGGTACTGCATACCCTGAGAAAAAAAAAAGAGAAAAATGTTTTTTAAAACAAAATTAACTATGACATAATTTGAAACATAATCTAGAGCTCAGATTCTAAGTGGAGTCCACAGGTGGAGCTGCGAAGTTATTCGCGTCTGTTATTTTGCCACACTTGTTAAAAAATAAATACCAAAAGTGAACTTGATCAAATAAATAGTATATTATATAAAGTCCTTTAAAGTGTGCTGCATGTGTTTGACATATAGGGGAAGGGTGGGCATAGTGGTCACTGGTTGTTACTGGACAGTACGGTGTTGATACACAGCGACAGGCCCGTCAACTCTTTTATTTGAACGGCATTTTAGATGTGTGAAACTTGTCAGCTGTTCTGATCATTTGTTAAAGAGTTCTTGAAAATTTTGCAAGAGCAATCGATGTCGTGAAGAAAGTCGGAATGCCTTATTAAACTGCTGCTACAACTTACAATGTGTCTAGGAACACACTAAAACGTCGTTTACTAAATAAAAATCAAGATGCCACTGACAATAAGGCCATTTTCGAGCTGTTTTTAACGAAGAACAAAAACAGCAATTGGCAAATTATCTCTTGGAGATAGAGGTACGTTTTTTTTGGAATTACTGTAGCTGATTTGCACCTCCTTGCTTACCAACTGGCTGAACGGAATAGCATCCCCATGCTTTCAATAAAGAAACAAAATTAACGGGAAAAGATTGGGTTCAGAAAGCGCCATCCTGAGCTTGCGTTAAGAAAACCTGAGGTGACTTCAGCAGCAAGGGAGCAAGAATTTAACAAAACGTATGTAACCAAGTTTTTTGACATTTTGAAGGATGTTCAAAAACATCAGTTGTATCCTCCTCATAGGCATTACAATGTTGATGAAACTGGACTAACGACTGTCCAGTAAAAGTCTTCAAAGGTTTTTGCTCTAAAAGGGCGACGGCAAGTCGGATCTCTTATATCTGCATAGAGAGGTGTTCTCAGCACAACTTCAAGACGGCGCTTCACCTGGAACAGCTTTTGTTTGTCAGGGTGGATGCAAACTGAGACATTCATGTAATGGTTTGACCATTTCTTGAAGTTTGCGAAGCCATCCGAAGACGACCCAGTTTTGCTCATACTTGATGGACATTCCATCCATACAAAAAATCTAGATTTCATTGAAAGGGCTAGAGAAAATCACACAACTGTAGTTTTCATTCCCCCACTGTAGTCATAAGCTGTAGCCACTCGATGTTTCTTTGATGGGCCCTTCAATACTTATTATGTCCAAGCGATCGAAAGATTCTTGAGTAATAATCCTGGTAGATTAGTGACACAATATCAGGTATCTAAACTTCTTGGAGAGGCATTTCCATTTGCAGCTACTGCAACTATTGCGGTAAAGGGGTTTGGAAAATGTGGCATAGTTCCTATAAACAGACAGAAGTTTACTGACGCGGATTTTGCTGCAGCCATGACCACAGAAATTTCCGTTTAAGATTCTATCTCTCTTCATGGAAAAAAATTAGCAGATTCTCATTTGCAAGTAAAGAGAAGCCGCCTTCTGGAGAGATAGATTTCCGACCAGCAACCTCTGCATCCAACGCTTCAGTTCAATAACCGCAGACAAACTACATTCGTTCTAATCTCTTAAGACTCGCCAAAGTCAAGTACTTTAACATTCCAGCCCGGTCCACTGCCTTATTTCAGTACTTCATGTGATTTAATCAGCAATTCCAAGGGCAAGGGGCACTACACTTTTGCTATAAGCCCACAGGATATTGTTCCGACCCCTAAAGCAAATATTATCAAACAAGAAAATAAACCAGAACAAAAGGAACAGCTACAAATCTGACCTCGAGCCCTTTCATGATGGAAAAATATAAGATGGACGTAACAGCAATTTAGAAAATGAGGTGGACAGGATCGAGAAATGTGCAAATGGAAAATTCACTGGTTTTCTGTTCAGGAGAAGAAAGGCACGAATTTGGATGTGGGTTTGTAGTTAACGGAAAACTGAAGTCTGCCATGATTGATTTCAAACCAATCCACAAGCGCATGTCTTCTCTAAGACTCAATGGAAAATGGTTTAACCTAATCCTCCTCTCAATCCACGAACCAACGGAAGAAGCAAATAAAGACGAACAAGGAGGAATTTTATGAAATTTTAGAACAACAGTACCCAGATACGACGTCAAAATGATACTGGGAGACTTCAATGCCAAACTAGGTAAAGAGGACCATCTTAGAGCGGTTATCGGCACACATAGCTTACACGATAACACTAATGATAACGGATCAAGACTGGCGGAGTTCGCTGTAGCCAACAATATGGTAGTAAAAACTACACAATTTCAAAGAAAAGATATACATAAAGTAACCTGGGTGTCAAATGACGGAATCACACGAAACCAGATAGACCATGTGCTTATCGATGGAAGACATTCTAGCAATATCATCAGAGCATAAAGTCTGAGGGGAGCAGCAAGTGACTCTGACCACTTCCTTCAGAACAAAAATGAGAACAAGACTAAAGACGAGATAGCCAAAGCAACGCCAACAAGGAAACAGATGGGACATTTCAAGGATCGATTTACCTGGTAATGAACGCCAATATCAGGCACTGATCCAAAACAAATTGTAGACACTGCATGTACTCTGAACCAGCGGGAAACGACAAAATTACTAGTACTGGAAAGAAAGATATTGTGGACTATCTATGGGCCTTGCAAAGAAGAGACAACAGAAGAATGGAGAAGACACAATGATCGACATGACAGAACCTCGCCCAAGCCTGTCTAATTTTTATAACAGTATCGATTCTTTGTATAAAGTTGTTAACTAATAATTACTTCGCGTATTAGATTTTTTGATATATTGCATTCATTCATAGAGTCTTACTACTTAACTAGGTTTAAAATGTCATTTGCAAAACAGTCTTGAGTACAATAATAGTGAAATTCATTATGATTATATATTCACTTCAAGTTAAATAAAAAATTTCTAAAACTAATGCTAGAAAATTCAACGAAACAGAACTTAACTTTTGACATTTGAGCACCTAAACGTATTATTAACCAAATAAAATTGACAATATGCTAACCTGGAAGCTGAAAATTGGCTTTCCAAACTGTTGTCTCTCCAGAGTGTACGGTATTGTGTGATCGTAACATCCTTGTGCCAATCCGATCATTTGAGCAGCGATTCCAACCCTTCCTTCATTGAGAATGGAAGCTGCTATTTTATAACCTTGTCCGAATTCACCCAAAATGGCTGTTTCTGGCACTCTGACGTTATCCATGTTTAACATGCAGGTTCCAGAAGCTACGATTCCAAGTTTATTCTCTGGTTTGGCTACGCTGAAGCCGGGGGTATCTCTGTCTACGATAAAGCACGTGATTCCTTTGTAGCCCTGCAAATCAAATTAATGTTATTCTATGGAAGTATAGAAAAATATGTTATTTAAAAAAATTGTATGTACCAGAAAGAAATTTATTATTTAACGCATTTTAATGAGAGAACTATTCCAAATGAACAGTTTTTCTAAAAGGAAACCTCAGAGAAGATGGACATGGCAAAGCCCTAATGGAAAAACTCAAAACTCAAGATTAATATATTTGAAATTCGCAGACGACATGGTTTTGTTCTCGGACAACCTCAAGGAGATATGTACAATGCTACATTAACAACTTCAGTTACTGTGTGCCAGTGTGGGTCTTAAAATAAACATCTCCAAAACAAAATTCATGACAAATCTAGTACATAGAGAAAATATCAATATTGGAGACATCCAATTAGAGCTGGTGGAAAAATATATGTATCTTGGACACGAAATAAAGATCACAAGAGACAACCAACCATGCGAACTACGAAGAAGAATAAACCTAGCATAAGCAGCCTATGGAAAACTCAAAGACATCTTTAAAGGCGAGATACCAATTTCTTTAAGACGTAAAACATTTGGTTCAATGACGATCAATGGTAACAAATGAGAGTTGAACATAAGTTGGAATTAATGACAGTTGCTTTATAAAATAACTATATACAATAGAACATTGGAGACATTATAAAGGTGCATCAAGAGAAAGACCACAGATGAGATGGGTGGGACGACGTAAAAAGAATAGCCGGATCAATTTGAAAGTATGTTGCTTAAGATAGAGGTCGATGGAATGAGTTTTGAGAGGCCTATGTCAAAAAAATGACGATAGAATGCTAAGAAGAAGAAGAAGACATAATTTTTACGGTATTTTTCGTCTGGTGCATCTTTCGTATGAACTTCAATTAAAGATGCCCATCCTGTACAAACAATTAAAATATTTATCTAATTGTTCATTGTACTAGAAAAAAATATTTTTCCTCTAAATGCAGAGAATAACTTTGAATAAATATTTGTTTCATTTTATGCAAATAATTGCAGCAACTAATTATTAATGACTTTTTAATCGATAGCGTCTGACCTATGTACAAATGTAAAGTTACGATTAACCATTTAAGAGTTAGCATTGCGTAATGGCTAAAGTTTGACGTTATTTGGTAAATAATTACGTACGACAATAAATGAGTATAGATTGTTCGAGATGAATACAAAGTGTTTGTAATTTATCATTCGATTGTACTGTAATACGAGGGCCAGGACAAAAGTTGTGAATTCCAAAGTAAAAAAACTGTTTCACTTTCCTAAATCAACCGTACTCAAACTGTAGTACGCGTACCACTGATGGAACGCAAAGCAGTTAAAGGTGGTACTCTAGAAACTAGAAGAAACGGAGAATTTTAATAAAATTTACTAACAAATAATGTTATCTTTTATATTGTGTATGGCAACGCTGTGAGTTTGAAACCACAAGCAGACCACAAGCGCGTAATGTCTTATTCATTGTTGACAACAATGGAATCACGGCAAATTGTCACCACCCTTAATTCACGTCCATTCACGCTATCCTATCAGTTTGCTCGTGGTCGTCAATCGTTGTCGTTGGTTTTGTCGAAACGAGTAATTTACTGTTACTGATTCGTGCTAATTTTTGCATATAAAAAATGGACAAGTGGCTTAAAAGAGACAACAGAACATCTGTAAATCCCGGTGCATGGAGCTCCACTTCAGAGTCGGAGCCTATACAGAGTGATGACAAAAAGAGTTCTTTCAATAAACTAAAACTGGCGGTTAGGAAATATGATCCTGAATACATTAATATGGGATTTACATTCACGACGGCGTTATTAAAACGCCACCTTAATACAAAACATTCAGTGTTTCAGGGAAAATAAACCTAAGGATTACTTCGTTCGGAAGTTAACGGAGATGAGAGGTACAAAAAAATGAATGTCGAATTTCACCGTCAGCAACCAAAAAGAAGTAGAAGCATCCTTCCTTGTGAGTTTAAGAATTGCAAAGTGTGGAAAAGCACATACCATCGGTGAAGAACTAGTTCTGCCTATCGCACAAGATATGGTAACGTGTATTTTTGAGGAGAATTCAGGTAAACAGCTTAGTATTTTACCATAATCCAATGATACCGTACGTCGTAGGATTGAAATAATGGCATTAAATGTTAAAAGAAAAATTGGTAAATCGGATAAAAAATAGTATTTTTTGCAATACAACTTGATGAGAGCACAGATATAACAAACTATGCTTAGCTTATGGTTTATGTGCGATATATATTTCAAACCAAAATCGAAGAGGAGTAAAACTCGGTTTCATCGTTTTTGGCGTGTGCCTGAAATAAGCTACTACGGAATTTTTAATATTTGTCTCTCTCTGATACACAGATGCGTAATTCAATTGTGCGAGTCACGTTCGTCATGATAAAGTGCGATGAGAAAATAATGAAAAGACCACTTACGCCTCCCACTATTGTAGCAATAACACCGATGCGTTTGGCCGATACGGTGTCGGTGATAAGTTGGGCCTCTTTACGAATACAGATAGCTGCCACTGGAGGAGGTAAACGAATCGAGCTTAGACAAGGAAAGACAGATGAAACAACTTATTGCAAGTGTTTTTACACGCACACGCCAAGAAAGATGAAAACGTCACTTATTTTGCGAGGCGTTAACGGAACGTACTACTGCCGATGAAATATTCAAGAAAATCAATTGTGGAAAATTGACTAGACTGGAAACAATGCGTTGGTTTCTGTTCGTATCTTACCCGAGCCGTGACAGGAAAATACGGAGGTGTAACTGCCTAAGTAAAACTGGTAGCAGAAAATTGTACTTTTACACATTGTAGTATCCACAGGGAAGCTTTGGTAGCAAAGCGAATGCCAGGTGAATTTAAACATGTTCTCGAGCCTTAAACTCGCGTTTATTTTCAAAATTATGCTCTGAAATAGGAAGTGATCATATTCAGTTATTGCTACACACAGAGATGATTATCAAAAGGAAAAATATTGAACAGGTTATTCGAGTTGCGTTCTGAAGTACATGTGTTTTTAATGGAAACCAATTTTGAACTGCGTGATTGGTTACTAGATGAATTGTGGCTCACAACACTAGCTTACTTAACAGACTATTTAATCGATTAAATGACCTAAACTTAAGCTTACAAGGTTAATCACATAATCCATTTTTTTTGTAAACGACAAAATAAATGCTTTTATCAAGAAATGTTATATGATAAAAAATAGTGTTTCAAATAAAGGCTTGCAGTCGTTTACCAATTTAGAAAACTTTGTGCTTGAGCATGAAATAAAGATTAAAGATGATCTTATTTTTAACATAAAACAGCATTGTCAAATGCTAATTAATAGTTTTAAAGAATATTTTGACGAAGACAAAGCTCAGTTTCTTTGGATACGACAACTATTTATTTTGAAAAACATTCCTGAAACATTAAAACAGGAGGAAAAAGAGTCTTTAATAAAACTAACTTGTGTTGGAGGTTAGAAAATAGAGTTTTCAAAATTAGAACTAGCCAAATTCTGGCTAAATATTAAAAATTAATATCAAGCCTTATCAAAAAAAGCATTGTTATGTTTCCTTTCTTTTACACCCACCCACCTATGTGAAATTGGATTTTCTGCTATGCTACAAGTGAAAAATAAATTTTTCAGTAGGCTTAATATTGATCAAAATTTACGAATGAAACTAAGCACAATTGATCCTGATATCGATTCACTTGTTGTGACTTTAAAGAACCACCCTTCTCACTGAATGTTTGAACTGGGTTAGACTTTGAGTTTTATTTTGTAACATTTAGTATCTACTTTTTTAATATGGCGTACGAGATTGACGCAGAATTTATATCAGTGGTACGTGTAAAAAAAGTTTGACAATCGCTGGTCTAAATTCTGTTTTGGAGATATCTTCAATCTGCTTTTACAATTTTATTTATAAAACATAAGCCAGTGACGTTATTCCAATAATACCATGAAAAAATTGGATAACTAGATTTTAAAAATTATAATTCTTCCTTGTCGAACTCCTTTAGCCGAAAATACTTCTGATCGTATATTTTCATACCATTTTTTTTAACATCTGGCATTATCTTTTTTAATTTGAATTTGAATGACTGGAAAAATTCTTAATACGACTCTGTATTTGTGGCGCACGTTTAGCTATGATAAAATCTGTATAAACAACGTCGTTCAAGATAAAATTAAAAATCGAAAGTGGATGGATCTAATGCAGGCCATTCACGTTCCGACTTGTGGTACGACTAGTGGTCCAACTTCTGCAGTTGGATCTGAAATCGGACCGTGAGTGGGCTAGTTGGATTAGTTGGACAACTAGTGGTACGACTAGTGGGATGACTTGAAGATCCGACTTCCGACTGGCGACGAAGTCGGAGCGTGAATGGTGAAGTTGGAAGTCGGATCACAGGTTGGATCGAAAATTTCCTCAGTCAGTTGACTTTCGGCACCTGTTACGTATGAGATTTCTATGAAATACTTTACGCAAAGATCTCTAGTTCGCGAATATTTAATAGAAAATAAACTTTCAATTGCACGAAAATTACCTTTTTGTTAGGGCAAATCATTTTCCTTTCTATAGATCTATTTCGGATATTCCTATACAGGTAAATTTCCGTTACTCCGGATTGTCTACGGAAGAATTATAAACAAACAATGAAAATTAAATCATAGTTGTAGCAAAAGATCCCTAGTTCGCAAAAAAATAATAGAAAATAGCTTTCAATTGCACGAAAAATTATTCCTATTAAAAATATACGACACACACACAACAAAATAAACCCCAGCTCTAGTTTAAAACAAATAAATTATAGATTTTATACCTATACAAATCTTTAAAAACTATAATTTTTTCCTACATCTTAAAAAGTCATAAAAATCAAGAGTTGAAAAAATTAATTAGTTCAGCCCTAGACAAATAACTAGAGAAACGAAACCTAATTTTTAAACACACATATCATATTATTATATTTTGCGTAGTGTTTATTCGATA